TTTTTTTTTTTTTTTGTGAATTGTTTTGAATTAAATATTTGACATTTGTATTCATTTGTTGCTTGCCCACTGATCACTCTTGGCACTGGTCCTACACTTTCCATCATCTTCTTTCTTCTAGACAGTGATAAGTGGCTTGTTTGCCTTTTTGATGTGGCCAGGCTGGGACTGGGAGCAGCCCATCTTTTACATCTTGGGTAGAGCATTTGCTCAGGAAGTGGGAATTGGGTTGTCAGGGCACCTTGGCCATATGTTCACGTGCCGAGAGAAGGCTGTAACCAGTGGATCATGGTTAGTCTGGGCTAGGAGCAGTCTCCATTCATTGAAGCTGTTCCCAGATTCCGAACAGAAGGAAAGAAAATGAAAGAGCAAGAATCAGCAGCCCAGGGGTGAATGCATGTGGCTGGGGTTAAAGTCCTGGGATCGGATCTGATCCCTGATCCAGGAACCACTTCCTCATTTTCCAGGAACAAGTCACTAGATAAAATGCATAATATGCATTGGAAACAGGGTTGTGGGGGGGAGAGGGGCGGTATTGAATAGTGGTTAGGGCATCCTCCTGTGAGTGCTTGGGTTTGAACCTCTTTGGGCTGAGGATGATCTGGGCCACAGGGCTCCCGTTTCCTGGGCCAGTACTCAAATCACAGTCCACTTGTAAAGGGTGTGCAGCACCACTCAAGAGGAGCCACCTTTCTGAAGTCAAGTGGCCGCAGTTGCTGTGCTTGGCTGAGCTGAGCGATGGCAGAATGCACTGAAGCGTAGTTGAATATGCCCAAAGGATTGGGCCGTGCATGGAACTGGGAAGCCACGTGTGTGAATCCCAACTGCAATTTGGCAGCAGACACGCAGGGCATGTACAGTAACAAAACTGTAGACTCCAAGTGAACTTTCCACAGTAAAATTGCAGGGTTTATGGCCGCTTGGACCCATAGGCCATTCATTTGGGTGGAGATGCCTGTGTTCCAGCTAAGTTCATTCCCCCGTGTTTCCATTCTCCCCAACATTTGTTTCTAATCTTATATCTGTATGTAGCTATCAAGAATCTCCGCGCACACACGTGTCATTCTTGCATGGTGAAATGGCTTCCTAGAAAAGACACCCCTATAATTTTACCAACAGTTAATGCCCAAAAGTGAAAGTAAGCCCCACATCTTAATATCCCAGAAGATTACATCTTTGCACTTGCATCCAAGACCATGTGGAGTTGTACAAGACACTCAGCCTTATTTGTCCTGTAGAGATCCTTGACTTGGTTGTGTGCAAACAGGTCAACCCAGAGAGTCCTTGAAATCCAAGGGTGCGGTGGCAGGCGTGACTGTCCGATACCTTTTGCACTTTAAGTGAAGAGGTTCCCTCCCTCCCCCAAAAGGTGGCAGGTTCCTTGAACACAGATTCTCCTCCCAGCTGCTTTTAAAGCGTCTTCAGAGCCAATCTGTATGGTGCTAGGCAAAAACTTAGGATTCAGTAAAAAAATTACCAAATTGAAATAGGCAATAGCCTCCACAGCTAGATTTTTCTCTCATCCTTCACATTAAAACAATTCTGGATAGGGAGGAAAAGAATCTGCTCATTAAAGCTCAAAGTCCTTTCCACAAAGCATTCCTGTAGCAAAGTCTCCCCTGCCCATGCTAGGAAGGGAAAAAATGTTTGGCTGCATTCAGCTCAAGATACGAGATGCCAGCCAAACACACTTGGCTCTTTCAATTCTATTTATAACTATATAATTTCTTCCTTCCCCCAAATAGTTTTACTCTTTCATTAATAAGTTGTCATTTCAAGTTTTAAACTAGAGCTGTCCTTATTAATTTTAAAATGCTTAATTGTCCTTTTTAAAGTAGGAGGAGTTTATATTATCCTCCCCCCCACCCCCCGCTTTTTTTTGCCTCTTTTCTACTTTCCAGTTCAAAGTAGCTGAAGAGATTCTGGCTCAATCTTTCCAAAACAAATTCCAGAGAGAAACGAAGCCAGAAAACCAGCCCAAGAAGAAGGTGAATCATTTCAGCATGTGAAATATGTGGAAAACAGGGCTATAATAGAAACAGGTTTTGTAACCTTAGTTATACTTGGCATAACCAAACCTATTGCAACAAAATTTCTCCCATTTTTTTTCTGAAGCTTACTCCTAATTTAAGGAATACAGAAAAGCCTTTTGAAAGACGCCAATGATTTTAGAGCACAGTTATTCGTAAATAATAATCACGGCTTACAGGACGTCTTACCTCAAGGCCCTTCATCTCCACTCTATCCGAGCAACTTTTAGTATTGAAAAATTTCTGTTGAGCCAGCTGGGAATACAGGGACGTAACTCGTATTCCTATTTAAAAGGGAAAATGGAGACTGGTGTCTGCCAGAGTTGGAAATTGAAGTCTTCCTGCATCCCAGCCGCTATCCTCCATGACTGATCTGCATTTTCATGGGAAATTGAATACTTCAGCTGACCCCTGCAAAGAGAAGCTATTTGAGGAAGGGAACAAGTGGTGGTGAAACTGTAGGTTTCAGTGAAAAATACTTTTCCAAATCTAAGCATATATTTGTTTTACCCAGACAGAGCTAAGCCCACAGCTCTTATAGTTCACTTTGGACTTGCTTCTAAAAAGCAGTTTGGACCAGAGCGGTATCATTGGAGCATCATGAATCATTCCCAGAAGCCGGCTGTGCTTGTGGAACGTCCCCTTCCATCCCTTGAGTAGCACGCTATGGAAGCAGGCTGCATCCTGCGCTATGCGAATTGCTTGAACCAACAGCTTCTGGCTTCAATTTGCAGGCTCCTCTTAAGTGTGCGGAAAGGGAGGGGGAAACCTCTTTCCCTATCCTGCTCCCCTACCTTGCCATAAGACAGAAGCCAGCACTGGAAAATGTCACCCAGTGCTTTTAAATAAGCAACTGAAATTGGCACTAGCCTGGAAACATTTATGCAGCCATTTACTTTACTTGTATAATTCACCCATTCTGGCAGGAACATACTTCAGGTGATGAGATTGATGTCTTGTATCATGGGTGCCAGGACCTCACTGCTTTACTCCCTCCCATCAGATGCCATTTATCAAGCCAGCAATAAATTTGAATCTCTGGGAATGTATCCACACCACGCATCAAAACCAACTTCAGATTATCCTGAGAGAGATTTCAGTCGTGCACTGATTAGAAAAGTGTGCTGATGGTAAATAAAATGGGGGGATGGATCCATTTATAAACCAGCCTCTGGACAAGTAATCTGTTTTGAAGAAAGAAGGCAAGGTCATATAGGTGAATAATGGCTACCTTTAGAGCCAGTCCTAAAGCAACTATTTTTAGCCACAGGTGGTTTTAAACAATGTAGGATTTGCATAATGCTTTAATCCAGGGGTGGGCAAGATGCAGCCCGCCAGGCCATTCTATCTGGCCTGTGGGGTCCCTAAAAAATTTAGAAAATATTTATCTGCTCCTGGCTGCCTGTCACGTGGCCCGCGATGGCTTGCCAAAACTCAGTAGGCAGCCCTCAACCTAAAATAGTTGCTTACCCCTGCTTTAATCAGTGGGTTTCAGTACTCTGCAAAAGGAATAACATTGCTGTTGTCCCCTTTCTGGTGTCAGGGCTTAGAGGCAGAGGACACTATCCACACCTGATTTTTAGCTAATGATTTAACTATCCATTAACATATTTATGCCATAGCAGGTTGACTTGCCTCTCCAGGATTTATTTAGTTGAAAGAACTTTGGTCTGCCTTAATGTAAACTGTATCTACCTTTAATATTTGCAATGATACCAGGATGCCTAGAGAGATGGCAGCCTTGGCTTTTCCCAAAATCGTGCCACAAGCAGAAAACAGGTGAGACTGGAACCTCAGTCTTCTCACTCCTAGCTTGGTGTCCTGTTCGCTGCCAGCAACTGTTAGTCAGTCCCAGGTATAGACATTGAGAAAGAAAGACGAAGGAGATCTGGAAGAGCAAACATTTAGTTGCTTCTCATCGATACTGGAACAGGAATACATGAATGCAAGATCTTACACAGTCATTGCCATTAGACAATGTCTTTCTATTATGATTATCTCACTGTAAGTCATTAGTAGTCATTCTCTTAAATGTTGAAAAAAGTTTGCCTCCCAGGAGGTGGGTGTGTGAAAAGAGCTTGCTCATTGCAGTTCAGCTGCTCATAGAAGCATTATCTGGATCAAGTTAACAGAAAACAATGAATCATAGTCTCAGACGGGATGATCCTTAAAGTCATTTACCATTTCCCTTCTAGTGCAAGACTGTTCTGTCCTAGATAAAACAGCTGACACAGGAGTTTACCATTTGGGAAGCATTTCCTTCTATTTATTCAGGAAGTCCTTCTCATTTAAAAAAAATAACTCGCCCTGTCTGTGAACAACCTGTAGATATTTTTAGATGACTTTTTGTATCCACTCCTGTTTATCAATCTGGTAGCTCAAAATGATGCGATGATCAGAACAACTTTATATTTGGCTAGCCAGCTTGAGAGACCATATGCTGGCAAGTGCTTGGCACTTCTGAAAATCAGGCACCTCCAGGCTGCCTCTGCCTTGGCACTCAAAAATCACTAATCACTTGTGAAAACATTATGCCTATGCTCACTTTCATTATCTGTATTATGGTCTCTTAACCAATTCTCAGTGAGCACAAACATTACCCAGCTTGCCAGCATGAGCAAGTGAGATTTTTTTGTAGTGTGCTCTCCTAAAATTCAGCCTTCTGGTGTCTGGGATTTCAGCCTGGCTATCAACAAGCAAATTCCCTAGTCCAGGCTACTACTATTTAACCCATGTTTTAACCCATTCTGCTTTATACTCCTGGCTTTCTTTTCGGTATGCGGTAGTTATTTAATGACCACTCTCCTTGCCGCCTTTTGCACTTCATAAGGGATGGATGTTTCTGATGGTGCCTTTTAGGATTGTTCTTTTCTTGGAAACAGATATTGTATTTGCTTTGGATATTTTGTAGTTTTTGTCAAATCTTGAACAGCTTTTCACTCCAAGGCACTCTTCTCTCCGTTACTGTAGGATGACGAGAGCCTGAAATATTTAACTCATGAGGAAAAGGATGTCCTCATGTTTTTTGAGGAAACCATTGATTCCTTGGAAGATGACTTTGAGGACCAGGTCCTACATGACAGTGGCATCCACTGTCACTCCCCAAGGTCAACAGAAGAAAATGCATCCAGCCATTCGGAGACGGAAGATATTATTGACTTAGTGCAATCGACCCCTGAGAGCAGTGATCATGAAGACTCTTCTAACAAAGATGCCCCATCAGGTAAAGAGGGGTAGCTGTTAGGGCATGTCCATTGAAGTAGATCTTACTGCTCAAGGTGCTGTGGTGTGAACTCCTGCACAGACATGGCTCTCATTCTGACACTTGTAAACACTCTTATGGCATAAAACTAGAAGCTTTATGTACCTTGCCATGGTGTGTGTGTGTGGGGGGGTGTATTCACCCTAAAAGCTCAGCTGTTCACTGTTACTACATTGTGCTGCATTCAGTTGTTCATGTGATGCTGAAGTATGCAGCTAAGTTTGCTACCTGCTTCCCCACCTGACTACAGAAAGGAGCATCATAAAGCTCTCCCAATGTGTAATAGCTGTGGAGGTAGATAGTAATAGCTGTAACAAGTGTGCATGCACTAGTTATTTCTATATCCACTGCCCCCCCTTTTGTGGACAGTCATTTGTGACTCTGGTAGTGATACCTCTGCTGGGGGTCTAGTAGTATGTGGCTACACCAAGCAGACCACATGTTTTTGGTCCCCTAGATCCCTATCCACAACCAGTTTCCCCAGACTTTTGCCCATTAGGAAGCACGCTGCTATGTTTTAAACTTGATGCAGTCCTTTTTTCTGCCCCTGGTTGGTAATAGGAAGAGGAGAAAGCTTCCTGTATACTAGATATCTAGCGGATATCAACTCACTGGATTGGCAGAAAGAAAGCTTGTCATCATAAACCCAAATAATAATTGGTAGTATAGAAATACTATCCTAGGTGGGTGGGTGGGGGAATAGAAAGACACTGGTAGCTTAATTAGGCTCTTCAGGCAAAAAGCTGAGGTTCCAGCTTATTCATTTGAAAAGCTGGGGTAATGGGATATGTATGAGGCCAGTCCTAGTAAAAGAAGGTATTGCATTCAGCTGTGTAAGAGCTCAATGAGATGTGTGTTGGGTTTGTTTGTTTTTTAGTGTTGGGGGCTGCTGGGAGAGCCAATAGCCCTAAGCCAGAGGACAACAAGCAGCCTGAGAGGACACCACCTCCTGATGATGCCCCAGTCCTTCCTTTGGCACCTCCATTGAACCCGGAGAGGCTTCCTCCTCCTCCTGTTGTGCAGCATCCTAAGCTGCTTCGCTCGGTCCCCACTCCACTCATCCTGGCTCAGAAAATATCTGAGAAGCAGATGGAGAACAGGGCACGCGCCCCTGGTTCTCCCAAGGAGGTGACGCCCGTGGAGAAGAAGAAAGTTCCAATGCAGAATGGAGATTATTTCCCAGCCATTAAGCATCCTCTGCAACCTGCACCTAAACCCCACAGGTTTCCAAGCAACATCAACATAACCAACATAAGCAGCAAAGAATTTAGCCAAACCATCTCTAAGGCAGCAGTCAACGTGCAGGAGCGCAGAGCACAGGTACTGGCCAACATCAATGGAGGAGCCTTTTGGGCTGCTGAAATAGAGGAGAGGCTGCAAAAGAACGATCTCTTAGGTCGCAACAGAAGCTCCTCCTTAAAAGATCTGACTTCTGAACAAACACGATACGAGGCCCTGATGAAACTAGGCCTGGCAAAGGAAAGGCCAAGTCATATCCAGGCAGATCGTGCTCCAAGCACTCAGAAACGTAGTGACATGCAATCCAAACAGGCAGGGACTGTTCTGAATGGATATCAAAATATCCATGAGATCTTAACAAGTGAACCGAGCCCTTTCCTTCCTGTAGGCAAAACAGTGACGATCAAACCACCCGCCACCATTGTCAGTACCAAGAGCACTCAGCAAAACGTTGCCAGGAGTTTTAACGAAGACAGGCAGGCTGACTTGACCCTAGACATCAGGAGGAGGTCAGGCTCACTGCCTAGACCCTCAGGATTTCGGTCCCAAGGAATAACAGTACAGTTTTCTGGCCGTGGCTCAACAGAAGAAGCCAGGAAAGAGGCTCTTCGAAAACTAGGACTGCTGAAGGAGACTCTGTAATTTATGGAAGGAGCTGTCCTGACAGCTGAGGCAGAGAAAGTGACTGGCTTGGCTTGTGCTCGAATAATCCAGCAAAATTGCATTTTCTAGACAGAAGAGAGTGAAGAGCAGTTCTGTGCTCCTGCAAGCCAAGGAGGTACTGAATGCTGTGCAACCACAGGTCTGTCGGCCGTATCCGAAGTGGCACTGCTCAGTCAGCAGTGGGGTTTGAATGCTGCATCCTATTCAGTTACTCATCTGTTCTTCAGTGTGATTTGAAGGCACTGCTTAAAACAGTACTGGACTACACCAGAGGGCATTGCATTAATGAAGCGTACTGTGCAGTATTTTGGGTTTTTTTATTTGTACATAACTAGCAAATCCAATGGAGGAACTTCCTCATGCTCTACCTTTCTGAAGCCAAAAAAACCTACAGATCTCCATCTAGACATTCAGAGGTCACATACATTTAAAGCTGAAGTCTTTGACCTATGTTACAAGCTTTTATCACTGCCCCTCACCTTCCTCACCCCTCACTTATCTTTATTACCCAGCTCCAGGAAGGACTGGAACTACTTTCTGTCCCAAGTTGCTTAAAAAGGGTGAAGAGAGAGTGGTTTCCCCTTTGGCCCTCATGGAGGCCCAAGATGAGAGTAAGTGACTGCATTGTTCTGCCACTAAATTTGAATGTTGCCCCTCTTCCTCACTAATTGCTTCTCGGGTGGCTACTGATCTACTCGTCTGGTCTTCTGAGCCCCTAGAAGACCGTGTGTGTCAGTATTGCACTGACAGCCAAAGCATCTACTGACAATCAGTCAACTGCTTTCATCTGAGCTGTGAAATGCTAGCAGAGAAGCCATAGGTACAAGCTAACTTCGTATCAAACGCAGGAGGCTTGCCTTTTTTAAACAAGAATTCAGTGGAGAAGACTTGCCCTGAAACAATAGCTCAACTCCACTAAGAAGCCCTGGTTCAGTCCCGTTCATCTGATTAGCTGACTACTGTTTTGCTTTGTGGTGTGTTTTGTTTCCACGTGGGTTTCCAACTTGAGGGAAGATCCAGCAGAGGTGCAGCTTGAAATCTGGGCTCCATGACTAGTGTGGGTGGGAAGGACCAAGGAGAGAAGCAAGTGCTTGCCTCCCCGCTCGGGAGCTGCAGCAATTTTGGTGGCACCGCAATGCAAGTTCCTCAAACAAGGGCTCCCGAATTGGCGCAGGCTCCCTGGGGGCTCTTGTTCTGGTGCCCCCTCTGAATTGGTGCCCTTCTCTCCCACTAACAAGTTATGTCACTGAAGATCCAGTCATTCCCAGAGTTGTAGGGAAACCCTTCTTTGAAGCACCTAGCCAGCTAGTTCATCATAAAAGATAACCCAAATCCTCTCATTTCAAACAGAATGACCAGCCCAGCAAGACTCCAAAACAATCTGCATTGGTGTCTTCTGGGCTCAGTCGGCAGACTTTACAGGGAGTCTGCAAATATTTAAGCATAAGTTTTGGAAGTGTTTATAGTCTGTACACACAACAGACAAGCTGCTCTTCCTCAACAACACCGTTTTTCCTTTCTGTGTGCATCCCCAAATGCTAAGGACAGAAGCCAGTTTAGAATCAAATGCCAAAATCTCAGTCCATTAAACTCCTGGTCTTAAATTTACATAACTGGAGGCCTAAAATATCTCACTTTTTCCGTAAGTTCACTCTCTTGCATCCTTTGAAAGCTTAAGCAATTTCTCCTCCTTCCGTGGTGTTGGGTTTTTTGGTTTTTTTTTTGTTTTGTTTTTTTGGTTTTTTTTTTTGAATGACTAAATTATAAATCTTGGAAAATAGGAGGGAGTAATTACAATAGAAACTGGCACACCTTCTATTATAGGAGCTCTGACACAACTGTGATAAACATGTTTATGTATTTCCTGTGATAGAAAGTGTTGCTTAAAATGCACCGTGTAGATTTTCATAAATGAAGCTATTGTGAAGGAAAATCTTTTTTTCATAATTGTCAGCCTGCCTCATAAGTTAAAGTAATTTTAAAAAAATATTTAATCTGCCTACTTTGTTTGTTTGGTTGGTTGTTTTTTAAATGATTGCATTGCCTATGGACTCAGGCTGCTTTTCTTATTTAACTGAGGGATTCTTTTCAGACTTTATATTTTCACTCAAAAAGGATAAATGATCACATCCTTGGATGTAACAGATATGCTGTATGCAAGTGTTCAGTAATTTAAAATAAAAAATGTGACCATTCCTCAGGCTAGCAAAGTCCCCAAGTATGTGTGCCCTGTTTAAATATGTGAGTCATCCAACTGAAGTCGGTGCGACTACCTGCATGTTGAACGTTAAACACGTATTTACAGTCTCTGCTAGAGCTGAGCCCGGGTCCCACGTCAGGAGAACTTATGCGCGTGCTTGCGGCTTTTGAACTGCACGCTTAAGGGCTCTTCTGAATTCGGCGAAGTAAAAGTACCGTATTGCTAATGTGTCATAACTCACCTTCACTGTTCGAACACTTATTTTCCTCTAAGTAAAATAAACACGAGTGTTCACACCTTTCTGTACATTGAACTTCTCAGTTTGATTAAAGGAATATTAAATACAAATGCAGACTCCTGTGGACCTATAGTCACATGTGATCCATTATCTCAACAGTAGCAAACATTGATCATGTGGTGGTTTGGGATTTTTTTTTTTTTTATTTTAGTTTACAACTGAGATGGTTTAGAGAAAAAGTAACTTGGGATGGACTTGATTTCAGTACCTTTACACACCATTGAAGGATGAATTTGGTGTTTAATACAAAAGTTGTATAGTTTTTGAGTATTAGCTGAATTATATGCCCCATTTTTTATTTTCTGTTGAATCTTCAGTTGGTAGATTTGCATTTAGACGCGCCAAACTGAGGATCCAGCACAAAGTATTTATTGTGGTTCACCCACCTCCCAGCTGTCCCACTTGGAAAAACCTTCCACTGTGCCTGAAACTGTAGCAAGTAAAGCCATGGACTATGTGAATTTAGAGTATAGCTGCTAATAAATAACCTGTATATAAATGTTAGCTGTATATTGTATATCATGCAACGGTGTGTGTAAATGTTGTGATTTTTGTTTTAAAGTGGAAATTTTATCTTGCACAAATCTAATTAAATTAACTAGGATAAAATCCAATGACAGAGTTGATGGAAAGTGGAATTTCTTCCTTTTCCCTTTATCCCTCTAATTAGCTATGGTCAGCTGTCAGATCCTTTTGAAAACATGAATTAACTCTTCTCGGTCTGATGCCTGGTCTCTGGTGCTTGCAGATCCACCCCAAAACCAACAATCCTGTCTGGCAGAAATGTAGCACAGCCATCCTAAGAGATGTTTGTATCTTTGCCTTTGTGTTATAAAGAAACTTAAACAGCAGCCCTTAGGTATAGCCCAGCCCCTTTGTTATTAAACCAGCAGAAGTAATGTCCTTTTCCCCCCACTTCACTCAGGTACACACCTTCATGAAGAGGCCGAGTGCGATGCCATGAGTGAGCAGAGAGGGGTAGTTAGCCCAAGCTAGCTTTCTTTCTTCCAACATGAATTTTGGAAGGCAGAGTACATTTGTATGTTATGGATTAAATACATCAGAGAGGTATAACATAAGCTTTTGTGAGCCTGATCTGATCACAGCATCTGAAGAAGCAAGCTGGGGCTCATGAAAGCTTATGCTATGCATCTCTGATTTAATTAGGGTAGACTTGGACTTTACAGACTACCTGCTGCATGACTTCAGACTCACACAGCCAACTCTCTCCCTCTCTCTCTTCCTAAAGAGGGAAGTTGTCAACTAATATTAATGTCTCCAGACCTAGAAGAACTTGCTTGTTCCAGTTTGTAGTGTTGAAATTTCCCACTCCCTTCCTACTCCTTGACTTGTTTGTCTGTATCCTTAGTGATCGTCTCAGGCACTTCAATCTGTGGTGTCTGATGGGCCTGAGTAGTAACCGCAGTAGCTCCCATGAAAGCTATGACAGCTGCAAGTTTACAGCACTGTTGAGAGCAACTGCATTTCTGTTTTTTAATTACCATATTTTCTCACATACCTTTTTCAAAAATGTAGCTGCTGGAAGTTGGGTGTGCATCATTAGCAAGGAAATAAGGTAATAATTTTTGCGGGGGGGGGGAGAAAGGAAGCAAAAGTAACACTTTTGCATGTGGGGCAGTGTTGCATGCGGGGCTCCTTGGGTGCTGCTAACTGGATGCTCTCTCTGTCCTGCCTCCCCTGGCAGCTGCAGAAGTTGCTGCTCAGTTACTGCTAATAGCAGTATTTTCAAGGAAAGGTCGTCTTTTTCTTTATTCTGCCTTTCAAAACAAGGTGTATATCTTATTTGTGGGGACATATTGTAAGTGAGAAAATATGGTACTTCATGCTTTTGTGATGCAATTGCCTAGTGAAATAGCAGGCCATGCTCAGAGTGCCTTAGTGTTAACAAAGGGTCTGATGCTTACTTACTATATCAGTGTCTAAACACACACTTGGCACTGGTATAATCACTTTGAAACATGCCTTACTCTAAAACCCTACTGCTACAACGTGTGTGTGTGTGTGTGTGTGTAATATGGTATATGTCCATCAGAACTGCTTATTCCTCTGGCCATACTGAAATGTCTGTATGAAGATAAGCATCTTCATCCTGGTCCCAGCGTGTCCACAGCCCAGGGTGGGGGCTGTACTGATATTGTAGGAGTGCTGGGCTCGGTCTACACACCAACTAGAAATCCACTTGCCACATTTCTCTTCCTGTTGATGAAATCTGCCCCAATAGATTAACAACTTTGTTCAGTTCTGTGGTTTGTTTTTGCCAGGTTGGGGGCATTCATGGCTTTTGGGGTTTTGTGGGTTTCTTGTATTTGATACTGCAGGAAGGAAGAATAAAGTGTTTCATGGCTGCATCTCAAAGTGAACTGCACATAACGGCTGAGCCAATTTCTTAGGGATCCAGTTACTGACAACGTACTAGCATGGGCTTTATTTTTCACATTGTTCTGGTACTGTAGGACCTGTCTGAATAAATTTCTCCTCTCCATATGGTTTATTTTTGCCCTAAACTACTTGAAATCAGAACTTTTCATTTGAATGTGGAATGGCTTCCAGGCTCGGAGGTCAGCGTGGGCATGCCCCTTGCCATATTCTCACTTTCCTTGCATACTACTTCATGTCATGGGGCTAGTGAGGTGGCTCTGGCTGCAGCTCACCTCTGTGTGGGTACTTCAAACCTGATTGTTTTCTGCCTGCAGGTGATGTGACAATATCCTCATAGCCTGAAATATGCAAAGTGTATGTCAGGGAGAAGAAAAAACAATCCCTTACTAGCCTGCATTGTGTTTTTACCATACCCTGTCCACACTTCCCCAAAAGAGAGAGAACTTAAAGGATCTTACCTGCTTCCTACAAAATCAGTAGTCAAGCAACTGGAAAAATGGAAGAGTTCACAGTCATGATAGAGGTTACAGTCCCCTGGACATTCAAGTAGATCTACTGGACCTTCTGAGAGGCTTGGCAACCTTTGCTTAACTCGATTATGGAGAGAGAAAACAGAAGGATGCTCTGCCTGTGTGACCAGCTATTTTTCCTGCAACAGAAATACTTAAAAAACCAACCAGTGAGGTGGCACCTCAGCTGATGGCTTACTCCTCCCAAAGGCCCATGGATATGCATTCGTTTATAGCAGCTAAGAACCTGGCCCTGTATCCACTGATGCAGTCTTGACCAGGGGTGGACAACGCTTTTGGGCTGGAGGGCCACTAAGGAGTTTTGGTGAGCTGTTGTGGGCTGGGGGTGGGGAGGAGCTGACCCCATGCCCGCTGTTTAGGGGCACTGGACAGAGTAGGCAGGCAGGGTCTCCAAAACTGGTTGCTGCCCAGCATCCCCAGCAGATGGACCAGGGTGCCCAGGCAGCAGGGCAGGGTCTGGCAGCAGTGGTGGAGATGCTGGTAGTGGCAGCCAGGCAGAGTGAACCACCGCTGTGGGGACTGCTGGGAAGCCAAGTCTGGTCACCACGCTGTCCCCACCCTGCTGTGCACTTGGGGGTGGTGGGACTGGTCACATGTGCCATGGCTTGACCTGCCCCCTTCAAGCCTGGGCTGGGCAGGGTCAAGGGACCTGCCGCAAGCCAGGTGGGCTGAATGCAGCCCGTGGGCCATATTTTGCCCCCTCCTGATCTTGACCTTCCAGATCCTGTAAATGGCATTTTGTTTATAGCAGTGTGATCCAGCTTTGAAGTACCTCCTTCCTAATCTTTACTCCAACATGCTCTCTATACCCTCACGTAGTAAAAATCAGAGGAACAAAGGCTTTATTTGCATTTCATGTTGAAGCTCTTATCGTCCCATAAAGTGCACAGTAGCAGCAGGTTGTAAAGGCAGCATCTTACTCTCAGAGTTATGCCTATGACTTCAGCAAGAGCTGGATTTAACGTATATCAATAATTTGATAAAAATACGAATGTGCCCAGAGCTGGGAAAAATTCGGCTCCTAAAAGGCCAGCCAAAGGCTGTTCCATAATTAATCCATGCAGATTAATGTCTCAAGCAATAGGGTTTGCCTTCGTATTGCGAGTTTAGTCTATTCAACAAAGCCTTTTAAACATAGAGACCACAAACCTACTCTGCAGGCAAAATGCAGCATCTCAAAACGTGTGACTCAATGTCTCATACATGCTGTCTGTCTGATTGCACTCAGGCTTCATCAGAATTCCTCAAAATGTTTTATTCCCTGTGTTTTCCTGGTGATTGACAAGTTATGTTGTTAAGAGCTGTAGGCTACAGAAACAAATATGCAGCCAAATGTCAAATTCTGAGAGAGAGGCAGGCAGGAGGCTGCTCTACAATTAGTTTTATCCTCTCTAGTTTGGTCCTGCACTGAGCTGTCTATGGAGCCCCAGTAATTTGAAAAAAAATATGTACTAAGCAGGGCTTGCCTGTACACAACTCACTCTGAGATGAGGGACCAGAAAGCGTTTTCAAGAGTGCTGCACAAATCTGCAGATAGCTGCCCGAGATGTTTTCCAGCTTCACTCGAACCACGTGAAACGAAAGAGATAATCTTCAACAGCCTACGCAGTGAAAACACCTACAGTCGTTATCACTGGTAATGGTAGAGGCCAGATAAGTCATGTTGCTCAGGTAGCAAGCCAAACGTCTTTCCATACAATGAGAGTTTCCCAGAACCATGAGCTGGGGGGACTGAGCCTGGCACGTAAGAGAGATTTTAGACCCAGCACACCAGGCTGGTTCTCTCTCATTGCTGGAGGCACAAACTGCCCGGTCCGAGCTTACAGTGCAACTAGAGGCATAGACAGAAAGAAGTGCAGCTCCCTGAGTTAACTCATGGCGCTTCACAGACAGTGCCACCAATGAGACCAATCCTCCCGACCCAACAGACGTTAGCTGTTGGGTCAGGAGAGTGGGGGATCCATCTCCAATTTGGAGCTGATGCAAGGGGGGAGGCTGCATCTCTGCAGCCTCTTCCCCTAGCTCCCCTCCTTTCCCAGCACTGTCTCAGGATGAGAAGGGAGAAGGCAGGTTAGGGAGGTCTGTTCTGGGGTTTCCCTGGTCTGCGCTGGAGTGGAGGTGTGGGTGGATTGGAGCCCCGCACCTAGGGCAACCCCCTGAATGAACTCCCGCTGTTCCCTTCCCTCCTTCCTATTCTGCAAACAGCACCAGGAGCAGGACTGCGCTGCATCAATCCAGTCCCAGTACATGCAGACAGACCTTGGAGCACCTTCATCTGAACTCTCATGTACCGAGGGTTCAGCTTGTTGCGGGATTCAGCCCCTTTAAAGCGCCCTGCAGCCATGCACTAGTATTAGGTCCTGGCTGCAGAGTGCTTTCAGGGCCAGATCGGGCAAAAATCGACACTTCTGTCTGCGCCTCTGATGAAGTGCTTCACAACTGAGCTCACTGAGGTGGAAGTTGCAGAAAGCATTCCTTGGCTGTCTCTTTAGAGTCATAATTATTATTGGCAAGCAGTGAGCCAAGGTGTCATGGAAAGTACACCACCCCAAAACAAACAGAGCAGCAAGCTGTAGAACTGCTTTTGCAGCTTTACTCATGGTCTGTACTTCAGAGACATCTGCAAAACAAAACTGCTCACTTCAAAACCTTTCAGTGTATTTCATGCCATGGCAGCACCCACAGCTTGAAAAAATACCTTGCGTTCCCCTTGGCTTATACACTAGCTCCAAATAGTGGCCTGGAGATGCACTTCATACAACAATCATACCATAAGTATAGTTTAATAGGGCATATGAAATCATGGACCCAGTTTAGAGTGGAGTCTCAAGTCTGTGCATGTAACTTAAGTCTCCTTGACCCAAATGTGCGTGATGCCGATTAAATTCACTCTCAGTTACCAATGTGTACGTTACACAGTCACTAGCGTAGATGCAGAGTCTAAGGCATTGTCTGGGGTGTACCTGTACCCTTAGCGTAGACGCCGTTTACAGTAGTCCAATACTACTAACTCTGGTTCAATTTACCCCAGTTTAAAACCGTACAGACCGATACACCTATAAACCTTGCCTATAGTAGCAGGTCACAATAGGGCAGCTGCACTACTGGTACACATTGGGTTTTTAGCAAGGCTTTGGAAAGGTACAGGTAGAAGTCGATGCAGCACGTGCAGAAGAATAAGATCTGATGGTGAGCATTAAAACAGCCAGTGTTGTAAGGCAGGGGTGGAGCTGACCTGTGAGTCTTGTCGCTGGCCAGACAACTCACTTCTGGATCCAGCCCATAAGGCTTCTTGCTGCAGCTCCCAGAGTTTCCATGCCAACGTGGACGGCACCCAGGGGACCGATGCTGATCCTCTCTCCCATGCCACTGGATTTCTGGTGCCCAAGTGCTCTTTGGTGTGCAAATTAGTGATGGGGAAGCAGGCAGGACACAATTAACCCCTGTATAGTGGCTATGCTGACACAGGGTGCTGGCAACCACTGCAAACTGGATCCGGAAGTCAGAGCCGGCCCATCCTATACTGCAAAACCTGCAGCCGCAGGGGGGCCACAGCTAAGGGGGCTCCCTGCATCCAGCTGCTCACCAGCCCCCACCCCTGCCGCTTCACGTCCGGCTGCTCACTGCCACCCCCGACTCCACTGCCACCGGCTTCTTCGGCTGCTAGCCACCCCACCCCCCACCTCCAATGTT